ATGGCTCTAGTTCTTCTGGAGTGACATAGTCCGGAGCATTGCCCATCAAGTCCCGTCCCCTGAAGGATTTAGGAAAAGCAATGACATCTCGGATACTTGGAGCATCAACGATGAGAGAGATCAGTCTGTCAAGTCCTAGAAGCAGAAAACAAACTGGTGAACCACTTGAGTCATGGCCCTATATTACTTCCTCTGATTCAGAAAAAAATAATAATAATAATCAGAAATATGGGAGTAGATAATATTACTGAGTTTGAAGGATAAAACTGAAGCAAGTAAGGGGAAAAAATAAATTTCAACCAGTAGCAGAGAAACAGAGTTGCCTAAAGAGTAGAAATACCTAGCAAAATACAGCTTTTCAATATTAGAGAATGTTCAGCAAGACAGAGAGCACCACTGTAAAGACAGCATAACAAAATCAGGATAGCTAAGTGGCAGGAGCAGTCAGGGCTCTGCTTAACTGCTCAAAGCTCTTGATCAACCAGTTCTGAAGGATTAGAACCAGTAGGAATTCAAAAAGAACAAGAGCCTCTGGGTGTTTGGATGGAGACAAATCACACTGGAAAACTACAGGTTAAAATGCTACCTTTTTTGTAGTTTTTTTTTTTATTGTTGGTGGTTGTTTGTTCTGGTGTTTGTTGCAAGGTTCTAAGAAAAGAAATCTTACATTATCCAATTCAGTGAGCAAAACAAATAAGGAAGAAGGGAAGTGAGACTGAAGCAGAGGGCAAGGTTGTGGCTGTGACCCAGGGCATGAAACAAAGCACCATGCTGTCCCAGGCCTCTGGGCATGCAGCACACGGATCCTGTTCTGGCTGCACAGGAATGAGAATAAAGATGACTCAATCTTCATGAATACACTGTTTGTAGAACTGCATATAAGGATCAGCCTTAGAGCCACCAATATAAGATTTGGGCCTTGCACAAGAACTAAATCACACCATGACACTGGGGAGGAACACCAAAATATTCTGCACGTAGCGAGGAGACCTCTCTTTTCTTCTACAAAGCAGCTAGAGATGGGAGCACTGTGTAAGCCCACAGAGTGTTACCATGTTGGTGGTGCCAAACAGCAACACCAGAACAGCACTCTCTGTCAGGAGGAGACAAGGCTCTGGTTAACAAACATGAGGCTTGTTTCTGGGTTCCAATATGCCAAAAAGATTAAAAAGTCACGAGACACCCGCATCCTGGAGAGCTACAGAGCACTCACCTAAAGCAATTCCTCCATGAGGTGGAGCTCCAAATTCCAAAGCCTCAAGCAGATGGGAAAGCACCTCAGAGTCCTCCTGCAAAATTACATAACAAGCATCACTGGGTAAATAATGCTTTCCCACTAGCAACAGAAGATGAATGAATGGAGATGTCATCCATCACTCAGGGCTAGGAGTTATGTTTCCCTATGAAGCATATGAGTGTTGCTTTCAGAATCTGAAGTGGCTATTTAAATTCAGGAGTCATTTATATCTCCAAGAAGCTGTTAGGGACATCTGTATGTGTTACCTTCAGCACTTTCTCCAGCACAAAACGCTGTTGTTCTGCACTATGAATTCTGATGGAGCCACCTCCAACTTCACTCCCATTCAGCACAAGGTCATAGTGCTGGCTACGGACCTGCAGAGAGAAACGAACAAGCACCTTGGTAAGGCTGGGGCACGGCTGCATTTAACACCAACCTGCACACAGGCAAAGACACAGGGAATCAAGTCTTGACATACTACAACACTGCCCTCCCAGTGGTACCTTGCAGTTCGGGTACCAGTCCTATCAGAGGCACAGATGCTGCTGACAGAGGTGGGAACTGTACAAACCTTTTGCAAAGTTAATCAAAATCTGAAGCCACATGGGATGGGTCAGAATATAAGACTTCTTTCTCCCCTTAGGCAACTCTTTCCTATAAGCCCCTTTTGTCAGGGGCACACATGGGTATATTTGCCACTCAGTAATCTGGAAGCCATCTTTTCCAAATATACACGTGTACAATATGCAGTCTCATAAAACATCTCTTTTTACACTAAAAAGAGCTGCTACTTGCCTAGTCTTCTACAACACAGAGCTGTAAGAGAGCCAGCATGGCAGACAAAGTCAGTTACCTTTGCAGGATCAGAATAGAGGAGGTTGGTATCTGAAGGATGAGGAGCAGTGAAGGGGTGATGAGCAGATTCCAGTTCAGTGGGATTCTCTTCCTTGGGGAGGAAGAGGGGGAAATCCACCACCCAGAGGAAGTGAAAAGCTGTAGGATCACGGAGTACCAGCCCAGCTGCCTCAAGGAGGTCAGCACTCTCTAACCGTAGGCTTCCTAATGCGGAGCACTGCAAAAGAGAAGGGGGAGAATGAGACAGGGCAATTTTACTAACAGGGAAGTCATTCAAATACAGACTAGGGAAGGGAAAGTGTGTTTTATAAAGGTGGTATCACTGACAGCATCAGTGGCAATGCATTGTTGCCTTAAACACTTTTGCCCTGTGTTCTGAAACATGTCATCTTCCTGCTAAGGCAGCAGCAGCTCCAGGGTTTGACAAAGAAAGGCAAGTAAGGAGCTGGAAAGCTCATTTTCTTCCAAATGTTCCATCCTCACACAAGTCTCCTACACTAACCTCAGGCTCTACAGGAATGTGGATTAACTGGGGGAGCACAGCTAAGATCTGCACTTTGCAGACAGAGAAATGAAGGCAGAGAAAGAGAATATGACAAAATTTTGGCTATCAGGCAAGAACACCTTGTCATAAATCAATGCTTGGAAGGCAGCATCTCCTGGCAAGAACACAGAAAAGGGTAGGGACAGAATCTCCCAACACTGCTGCTAATAAGCAGCTGTGCTTCACTCATCATCTGCTTATGGGAGACAAAATGACCTAGTTGACCTCGGTTTTCAGTCTTAAAGTTGACCTTGTCTTTCAGAACCTTAAAAATTAAGTTAAGGTGAGAGAAAAGGAGGCGTTGATTTGATCCTGTTTTACATTCCTGCCTTCATTTCAGTTACAAGTTCTTCCCAGAATTCGGCTGGGGAAAATAAAAGCAATAGGTACATTTCATGCATTATTTGCTGTTGCTATAGTTTCAGCTCCAGAGAAACACAGAATTAGACGATGACCTATTTTAATAATAAGAAGAATTAGACTAAGGTCAGATAACATCAAAGCAATCACCATCAACATTCAGCTCACATAGCCACCCAAGAAATGCTTCCTACCACTCGCTTGTGTTCACCAGCTGCCAGCAGCACCACATCATCCACCTGCATGTTCAGCGCTTGGATAAGCTCTGACTGCTGCTTCTCACCAAGAAACTTTGTAAGCAGGGACTTCAAGCTTCCATCAGGCCTGCAGATAATTTCCATAATTTCCTAGAGAAAGGTAAGAGTATGTTCAGTCCAGTGCTGCCCTCTCTTGTCTTGACATGTGCGGGCACTGGCTATTAAAAGCTGCTCTTCTACTTTCCTCTGCCTGCATATTTATACACACTTTATCATTCACTGTTCCAAATACCTCACCAGTGTTTCTGTCTCACCTGGTTAAACTGGGATTTTGCAGACTCCTTTAATGACTCCAGATCTTTATTTTTAAGGTATCTCTGGCGAAAGAGCAAGAGAAGACACATTAAACATCAGCAAAATCAATGGAAAGCCTGGCCAGGATTCAAGTCTACTGACTGAGCCATTTCTAAACTTCTCAAGTTGTTTTGTCTCTAGTACAAGTTCTCATGAGGGCTGTGGAACAGGACAGGTCCCACAGCACTAGGCTGCAGCAGGGCGTCTTCTCCAAGGGCTCCTTTCAGGAAGGGGCCCCTCTAGGTTGTACATCTGGCTGGAGTTTTTCTCCCTGCTCACAGATCAGATACAGCTGGTCAGCAGAGTCAGATCATACCAACTAACTGCCTCCAGCGTGCAGGAACAAGGTTGTAACACCACACTGTTGATGGGGAAGGCATAGCTCAGTTTGGAGGAACAGAAGGAAACCAACTGAGCTCACTCTCACGTGCAAAGAAATGCAGCACATCTGAGGACCTGCATCAAGATCTTAATTTTTTTTCAGCTATTTTAATGTTTAGAGGGCTCAAGATTCCACTTTTGTTTTGCTCAAACACACAACTTAGTGCCCTCTCGTGGGAAGCCAGTAACTTGCACTTTGTGCCAAAATTAAAGAATCTCAAGAGAAACCATGGTCAGAAAGTCCTGTTCCCCAAATAAAACTCAGTGTTTAGTGGATATTTTTTCCATACTGCCCAAGCTGCAGCCAGAATTAAATCTGCTTCCCTGCCAAAATACATGGCTGTGTCAAATAATCTTCTACATCTATTGTCAGCCTTGGATTTGGTCCATTATATTCTCATTACAAGAGATGAGTGATGTCCACAAACACAGAAAAAGCAAACATGAGAAAGGTGTGTAACCACTGACCCTTCTCTCACTAGTCCAAAAGAGCTGTGCCACACCTGGCTCTATTTCAATCTCTTGCCACAGGGCACAATTTACTACTGAGATGTACATCAGAAAACATCCTCAAAAGCAAGCTGAAACCTCAAGGGGCTTCCCAATCCTTGAGGGACCTTGAAGCTCTGTTTTCTTCCTCCCCTTCCTGAGGACAATATATTCCTTCTGTTGCCTGATCATCTCCATTCCCCTCTTCTAACACCACTCAGCCCAACCTGACGTCAATCACAACCAACCCCAAGCTCCCCAAAGGGCACTACTCCCCCAGTAATAGCAAAGAACATTTCCATACCAACAAAGGAATTCCAATTGGCAGTTTATTTATTTCACATAAACCATAAGCATTATGTAAAAGCATCACTTACCACTCCCTGAGGGATACAAATGGCTTTGACAGTGCCACGTGGGTAACTGAGTGCATTCTGCACAAACTGGATGTCTGATCTTCGTAAAAAGTCACCGATATCCACTATCTGAGAAAGGAGAGATCATAGGAAAAAGCAGTGGTGGTAGGACCATGAAGCAAAAATCCTGCACTTGTGTCTTAACACCTTCAACACCCCTCCCTGGGATATCATTACTTTGCTCAGAGAAATCAAATGGTTCACAGAAAGAAGTGAATGGGGCCAAGCTGGAATAACCATTAATTAGGAAGCTGAGCACTGCTGAAAGAGATGTGCAGGACAGCCAGAAAAAACTACACCCTACCACAGTGAAGAGATGTACACTGAAAAAGAAACCCCCAAATTAATTCCTAGAGAAACACAAGATGCTTTTTTGCTTTTCAGCACTTCTCCTCTTAATACATTTGTTAATATTCTTCTTTCCTACTTTCATACTCTTATTTCATATACAAATATTGTATGCACACAATCATAGCTGGTTATGTTGAAAATATTTTCAGGCCATTAAAAGGCTGGAGAAGCCCACCTCATGAAGGAGGCTCACCAAGAGCAAGCTTTGGAATACAGCACAGAAAAGCACTTATGGTATCTGTGGATGCCTTATGGACTTCTGTTCTTAAGACAGTCAAGATACATTGCTTCCTAAACTCTCCATTATCTTTAAAATAAATGTTCTAAAAACATACATTTTCCCACAAGTAAATAATCAAACTCTCTCTTCCCCAAGAGATGGATTACCTGTACAAAGCAGCAATGATGCGATAGACACCTCGGGTAAATTATAGCATTCAGAACTCCAGCCAATCACATATACATGATTTAAACAAAGATTACTCTTAATCACAGAATGTTAGGGATTGGAAGGGATCCAGAAAGACCATCCAGAAAGACCATCCAGAAAGACCATCCAGAAAGACCATCCAGAAAGACCATCCAGAAAGACCATCCAGAAAGACCATCCAGAAAGACCATCCAGAAAGACCCTAATAGGGAGGAGAAGCTGCAAGTTTCCAATGGGCAAACCCTCACCTTCATCCCGAAACGAGTGTCTGGTTTATCAGTCCCATAGTCAGACAGTGCCTCCTCATATGTCATGGAAGGGAAAGGAGTCATAATGAAGCCTCTTTCCTCAGGCCAGGAATATTGCAGGAGGCCCTCTATCAGTCTCTGGATCCCAGCTTGATCTACAAATGACATCTCTATATCTATCTTAAAACAGAAAACAAGAGGGGGAATTCCACATTAGCTATAGGTTTAGTCTTTGCACTGCTACTTGCAGGAGTTCTTAACTATAAAACCATCATAAAAAGAAACAATACACTAAATTAAATCACAGCATGAGTGCATTAGACTGAGGATGCGTTTATGATAGTCCCACAGCCTGATGACTCAGGCAACAATCTCCTCAGAGAGCTGAATGAGGTAATGATGACAAGGACAGAGGGAGAAACCTTGAATGAACCAGGCTAACTCTGCCTGGGATCTCAAGGCTGAGGAATGGGATGCCTGACCCAGCAGGACAGGAGGAGCTTGCATCATCAAGCACAGTGACTGCTGCAACACAATTCCCACATCTACGGCACCGGGGACTGCGCAGTCAGCCAAGGACAGTAACCACTGTGTGTACATCCCACGCTAACTTCGAGGGGTTGCACACAGCAAACAACACTGTATCCTCCAAGTAGCACAAGAGGGAGCAGAAACTAAGCCTTCAGAAGGGAAAACAGCTACAAGCCGTTTGGGGTGAGGGGGAGAGTAAAAGGCAGCATGAGCTCGTTACCTGAGTGAATTCAGGCTGCCTGTCAGGCCGCGAACCTTCATCTCGGTAGCAGCGTGCAACCTGGAAATACCTGCAACAGCACTTTTATTTAGATGACAATTTAAAGTACCCTAAATTAAATTGTTGGCTGTAGAATTGGTCACAATGATAGCCCTGGTTGTTCCCATCTCCTCAAAAGCATGAAATTTTGAGTGGTATCAGCAGCTGTATCTGTCTCCAACCATACCTCCAGAAGCATGTGGAGGCTACCAGGTGAGCTGTGTCCCAACAAGGGCATATGCAACCCCCTTCCCACCCTCTGCTCCCAATCTGGACTCTATTAAGAGCCATGCAAAACTCACTCATCATCAAGATCTGGCCTGTAGTTCACTGCATGAACAACTGTCTCCATCTCCTTCAATTTGATTTGGAGGAATAAGCCCAGTTAAAAGCTTTGTATTCATGCACCCTGAGAACATGCTCTCCTTGTCTCAGTCCTGCTCAGCCTCGTCTCAATTAGTTCTACAGGTTCCTCTTGAAGAAGCTTTTATCACACACTAGATTTTCTGCCCTTCAGGCAGACTGTGCTTCAGATCAGGTTTCCATTTAAAACAACAGTGAAGACTTCAACCAGGATACATTTCCTCTTACTGGGAGACATTATTGCTGAGGGGCAAAGGGCCTGACCCAGCTGGAAAGCACCAAGTATTTAAGGATCTCTCTTCAAAACACCAAACCCTTGGTAGTAAGTTTTTGGGGAAATATCTAAAACCTCACAGATCAAAGCAAGCAAACCCTGGATGGGACATACAGCTAAGAGGAGTCCAAAAAACTCTTACCTGTCCATGCCTCCAACCATGAGGAGCTGCTTGAACTGCTGAGGACTCTGTGGCAGAGAGTAGAACTTGCCCGCCTCCCTTGAGGGCACAAGGAATTCTTTTGCTCCCTGGCATGAAAAACAAGAGAAAAGTTTACACAGTTCAGCAGATAAGAGGCCTCAATTCCCTGACACAGAAAGAGCTGACCTGATTACACCTTGCACACAAAGTTGTGCTGCTTTCCAAGAGTTACTGGGTTTTAGGTAATCTTTTCCCCCTTCTCTTTCAGAAGATTCAGCTCTTGCCCCAGCTTTTCTTGCTCAAAATGTTACAAGTGGATATGGAATGGCAAAACCAGAGTTTATCAATAATAATAAATGAATTTTAAAGAAGAGTTCACCTGAATTTTTCACCTGAGCACTGGCACTAGAGACAAACCATTTCCTACAATCACCCCACCAAGTAATCAATGTGAATTCTTCAGATGGAGCATTCTATCACATTTTTCCTCTCACGGATTCTTTTCTGTTTGATAGAGCAAGTTCACCCTGTAGCCTTTCCCTCCACTACAGGCTTACTTCACTTTAGGAACAACTTCTCCAAACCTTTACCCCTCAGTTGAATATAAGGGAAATCACAAAGGGATTTAAAAGTTTTTGAGAAGGGCAATGGAATTGTTGCCTTGTTTCCACAGGCAGCCAAGCTATATTATAAAAATCAGCAGCTGGTGTTTTAGGTCTGGATCTCTACCCCAGAAACTGTAGGCAAGCTAGGCACAATTTTGGGCTAGGTCCTTTCCCATTGATTTTGGAATGTTTATTGACAGAAACCTTGACTAATATGCATTTTAGTGGTAACTATACTTACAGAATATCATAGAATCAATGATAGAACAAGGGGAAATGGCTTTAAACTGGAAGAAGGTAGGTTTAGATTGGATATCAGGAAATTGTTTGGTGTGAGGGTGGTGAGACAGTGGCCCAGGTTGCCCAGAGAAGCTGTGGCTGCTCCTCCCTTGAAGTGTTCAAGGCCAGGTTGGATGAGGCTTTGAGCAACCTGGTCTAGTGGAAGGAGTCCCTGCTGATGGCAGGGGGGTTGGGACTGGATGACCCTTAAGGTCCCTTCCAACCCAAACCAGTCTGTGATTCTATGACTCCTTTTCTTGAAATCTGCCCTGATCTGGCTGTGTTTGGGTTGGCAGGGAGGAATCTTTTCTCTAGACCCTGTGAAGGAGTAGTTTTGTTTCTTTTATCTAATCTACTGCTTCTACTTTATAAATCCATCTTGGCTGCTCGGTCACATGTACCAAAGTTGTGCCAGAGAATTGTGGCATCACTGAGGAGAGTGAAGGAAAATACAAGGCTGACAACACCACACCGTTATACAGACCTACAGAACCACATACTCTTTGCATCCACACACAGGTTATGTTTACTGGCCAAAAATCTTTCTTCAGC